CGGAGCCGCCGCCGCCGCCGCCGCACAGGCACGTCCGCAGCACCGCGCGAGACGGGGGCGGGGCCGCCGCGCATTCGAACCGACCGCCCGCCGCGCTCCGCCAATGGCGCCGCGCCGGGCCCGTTCAAAGCGGCCAATCAGCGCGCTCCGCGCCAAAGCGAGGCCCAAAGGGCGGCTTTTGGCTCCGCGAGAGGGGGAGGAAGGAAATAGAGAAATGCTGCGCGGCCGGGCGCGGCAAGCTGAGAGTGCACAGGACGTCCCCTTGGTTCGCTCTCACCGCGAGTGGAGGCCGCTTGGCAGGGCGGGTGGGTCGGGCCGCGTAGCCCCAAGCCGGTGACACGGGGGCGCTGGGGCGGCGCCGCTGGGCGGACTGGTCCCGATCCCGATCCCAGAGTCACGGAATGGGTCAGCAGCAAGGGACACCCGTGGGTCACCTGGTCCCACCTCTCTGCTCACGCAGGACCGTCCCAGAGCACATGGCACAGGACCGCGTCCAGACGGTTCTGGAGTATCTCCGGCGAGGAAGAATCCACATCCTCTGTGGGCAGTGTGTCCCAGTGCTCGGTCACCGCACAGTAAAGTTCTGCCTCGTGGAACTCCAGGGCATTAGTTCCTGCCCATTCCTCTGGTGCCATTGCTGGTCCCAAGGAGCAGCGCCTGGTCCCTGCTCTGAGCCCTCCCTGCAGACAGGGACGGCGTTCCCTCTGAGGGACACACAGGGATGATGTTCCTTCTGAGGGACACACAGGGACGGCGTTCCCTCTGAGGGACACACAGGGATGATGTTCCCTCTGAGGGACACACAGGGACGGCATTCCCTCTGAGGGACACGCACAGGGACGGTGTTCCCTCTCAGCTGTCTCTCCTCCAGACTGAACAGCCCCAGCTCCTTCAGCCTTTCCTCCTTGGAGAGATGCTCCACTCGCTTGATCAACTTTATATCTCTTCACTGGACACTGGGCACCACTGGAATAACCCTTTGGGCTGTTGGCATGGTTTGGGGAGTATAATCATGTTTGGACCAGGCTGGGTGTTGGCTGCACCTTTTCCTTTTAATCAAGTCTTAGATTTGGATGCTGCAGCTTCTCCTTTTAATCAAGTCTTAGGTTTGGATGCCATGGCCTGCCAGATCATAAATTCATTATTTCTGGCTGTATGGGCGCTGATGTGGGAAGTGCTGCTGTGGCCTTGGGAGCTGCTTTTAAGGCATATGCCTTAATGAAAGGTCATTGGGTAACTTAATTCTCCAGAAGCTGGGATGTATGTCTGTAGGCAAATTAAAGTTCGGCATGCCTCCTCCCAGATTAAGAAAGATTAGTCCCTGTGCTGTCCCAGCTTCTGAAAGAAGGGTCGGGGATGTAACTAGAGAGGCACCTGTGTGCCCTGCTCAGCAAGCACCACTGGAGCCCAGGAAAGTGGTGCTACAGTACATGAGCTAACAAAAAATACTGGGAAAATACTCCTCCAAATAAATTTTGTTACTGAGAAACTGAAATGCTAAATAGATTAGCAAAGTCGAGTGTTTCTAGTTTTACAAGTCTTTCCCCTGCAGGACAGCTCCACTGTGGATTGTGTGGTGCTGCTGACCCACTCTAGCACCAGTTTATCATCGGCACTGCCAGTCCTGGACCAACAGCTCCTGTGGAAACCTACAGTCCCTGCAGGGGTGAGACACAGGCACCTCTTCACACTGCTGATGTTACTGCCTTCTTAAATTACTTCTCTGCACTGGTTTACAACATTCTTGAAGGATGGCTTTGCCGCTTGTCTGAAATGTTAGCAGGACAGGGTGCTGCAAACAAAAACATGTGGCTTCTCCCTTAAGCATTTCTTTGGGATGGCAATTCCAGGAGGCAGGGCTCTTTATGGTACATTTCCTTCTTCTCATCCCTACCCCATGGCAAAGGCAGGAGGCAGCCCGTCCAACTCCTCCCCAGAGTGTGTTTCAGGGGTAAAGCCCCTCCACTTTCTCCTCCCTCCTGGGGAATTTTTGCAGCATATGGTGCGCATGCTCGTGGGTCTCTGTTTGCTTTGAATCCTGTATTCTCACCACTTGCTGGGGATTTACCTGCCCAGAACGAGGCTTTTGTCTGTCTGGGAAATTCCATACGGTAACGTGGCTTGTGCAATCTTGTGCAATTCATAGGGAAAGAGCCTGATGTGCTCTGCCCTGCACAGTGACAGAGAATTTGTACCCTGTGCGTGTAACAAGCCCAAAGCAGCCAGGACAGTTTGGGCACAGCAATGCCCATGGATCAGCTGTACAGCTCAGACAGAGTGTGGGACACATCCCTCAGGCCTAGCTCTGCACCTCTGGGGAGTTGTTTTCTATGGCCAGCACAAGGCTGGAGCTACTGCTGCTGGACCAGTCCTTGTCTAGGGACCTTAGGTAGGTTGCCAAAGTCTAACTTTCCCTTTAGAGGAAAAGAAAACATTTCTTGGAAGTCCCAGACGTATGGTAACCCTAGTTAATTTATGGGCATTGGTGATGGTATCATAATCATTCAGTACTATAAATTATTATAAGTTATGATATGGAGGGATTATGTATAAAATATACTGTCTAAAAGTACTGAATACACTGCTCTGAATTTTCTTGAAAGCAAGGTCTTTTTTTTTCTAGCTTCAGTTTAAATATACACAAGAATTTCTTAGCTGTGGTCAGAAATTATTATTTCTTAGAAATATAAATTTCTTAGTGTCCTTCCTGCTGGACATTAACTGTTCATTCTCAGAGCGCTCGCTGAATTTTCAAACTCTTTGAGAATACATTTTTTTCCATACATCTCATTGTGTCATGGGCTCTGAGTGGGAAAGACCAGGAGGAAGGAAAGCTGGTTAAAGAGCAGCTCTCTTGTGGAGGAACCCTGCTTGTTTCACGTGTGAGGGCACTTCTCCATGAGCCAGCTGCACACAGTGCTGTGATCTGAGGTCGCTGGTCATCCCCTGGTCAGCACCTGGGGTGACAAGTCCAGCCTTTTCTGACACCTTTAGGAAAGGTCGTCTGGAAGGTGGATGGCTTTGAGATCCTTCTGAAAGCTGTTGCACTCAGAGCCTGAAATCACTGCTCCTGCCTTTGTGTCAGCTCTTGTGCCTCAGGGCCCAGGCTGTGCTGGCTTGCTCAGGTAAGCAGCTCAGGGACGTTATTTTGCTGTGGTCTCCGTGTTGGGTGGGCTGGTGGCCATGCCAAGCCCTCAGAGCAGTGGAGGATGCGGTTGTGTGCGCTGCTTTCCTCCGGCAGCAGCGCAGGCTGCCTTGCCCTCAGCCTGTGGCCCTCCCTTAGGAGCCGAGTGCCTGTAAGTATAGACTCAACATGGCATTAATTTGTCAAACATCTGACACCTTGTGTTTTCCTCCCTCTTGTTTACCTAGGATATAAATCACGTCTCCTTTCTGACTGGATAGTGCTTATCTCGGTTGATCATTGCTTTGGACATGGCAGGAGCTAATGATGCTGCTTGAGACAAGCAATACCAGTACATTTGCAGTGACTTCTGTGTTTGAAGGGATTTACTGTTCTGCTTGAAGGAGCAGCAGCAGTGAGCCTGCTGACAACCAAGTCACAGACGGATGCATGTGGGAATGCCTAGGACTGCTGCTCCCCTTTACAGCAAAACGGTGAAATGCAGAACTGAGGGAAAACTCCAAGGCAAACAGCAAAGGAATCTTGACAACACGATGTTAATTACATTTTATTTATATAAATGACCAAGGGGCACATATATTAAAACCTCTTTGGCATCCCAGACTTCCCTTTGCCTGATCTGCAGCGCTGTTTGTGCAAGGCACACGGGATCAGGCCGACAATGCCGAGCTGGGATTATGGCATTACAGTTGTATTCATGGCTGAGAACCCAGTGTAACGCTCTGAACAACTCCTTTTCTGCTGAGTAGAGGGCAGCTGCAAAAGTCAATATCGTCTTGTCTTTCATATATTAATCATATTCTCCTCAGCAATAACTTCACTGTAAGGAAGAGAAAAAGTGCATTCTGTCTTTTACATAATGATGGAACTACAAAGGTCAACTGGTTGGTGAATACTAATGAGAGTATCTAAAATAGGTTGTGTTCACTGTGCTCGAAAGCAGATAAGTACAAACATTGATTGGCTCCTTTTAACATTTATTTCAACTCAAAGATTATTTTGTTAAGATGACAAATGCAAAAGTACAGTAGGAGAGATGTACTACCACTTAGGAATGCAAGGTAACATTAGAGGGATAGTATCTCTAATGCATATCTCAGATGATACATTTAACCTGTTAAATCTCTTGTTATGCAGGACAGTTTCTACTATCATGAAACATGGCCAACTTCTCTGCTGCTCTCCTTCTGCATTAGCATTTTTATAGGATGCCAAGAAACAAAAAGCTCCCAAGAACTGTTTAAAAATAAAACAAAAGGATGGAAGCTGCTTAGAAAAAA